AGAAAACCAACACTTTGAAACAGTGCAATTATTTAACCAAAATTTACCACCCGGCTACACATCTTTAGAATGAAAGCATTGTAAACGGTTTACGATGCTTTCATTCTTCTGCCATGGGGTTTCAGTCAGGGCCTTCAACAGACGTCAACTATACCTCAACAATGCACAAGTTGTGAGGGCCAATGCAAAAACTATGCACCACACACCAAGCCACAGGCATTCAATAATATGCAAATAAATAGAAATATGCCAAGTAAGGCAACAATGCAGCCAACCAAAACATAATTGAACAGCCAGCAATTTAGCAAAACTTTTCTGTTCCCCATTTAAGCTCAACATCAATCCATACTGCTCAAATAGCACATGTGAAAAATTTTAATTAAAAAAAAAAAGTTTAGTAAAGTCTGCATAAGAATGTAATAGAAAAATAACACTCACCCATTATCTGTAAACAAAATCCATGCGTCTATGCTAGCTGTTAGCCACTCGTAGCGCTCATAGATACAGTCTTTAAAATGCCGTACAAAGTTCTTACTGGTCTGTGTTAGTAAATCCAGGTTTGGTGTGGGGTTTTCCATTTTTAATAATTATTATTATTTATCCATGAAAGACGGTTCAGAGTGCAGGATTGGCTTCAGAATTCATTGTTCATTCAGAAGGTTTCAGTAGGTCAGCTGTAAACGGTATTGAAGCGGATGCGCCGTTTTGTAAATATCAAGTTCACCTGGGCCTGTGGGACGCGCCGTCATTGTATTTCAATTTTGATTGGCTGATAATTCCACGTACACTTCTGTCAGTTATGCCAACTATGGCGGCCTAGGTTGGGTTTTTGACGAAAGGCTATCAACAAATCCTGAGGCGGAACAGCTCGCCAGATGCGTATAAGGCACTTTTTAAAGTAGAAATGTAAAGTGAAACCCAAATAATACCAAAAAGCAACTAGTTTTGTCGAATAAAAATTTAATTATAGATAAAATAAAGTATGATTAGGACATATTACACTGTTTTGTTTTTTCTTCAATTTTCTACAGTGGGCAGAGAAGGCCCTGCTGGCCCTGACAGCCCTCCACTGTTGTGTATTTTTCAACTCTTGGATCTGAAGGCATGAACAGACATGCCTGGTGCTCAATTAAACATTTCTAAATGTTCACTAAGTAAGACAGGACTTATCTATCGACATGTTTCCAACAAAATGTAATGATTTATCACGTAATAGTAATAATAAATGTAAGAAATGGTGGTTTCACACTAATAAGAGCTCAGCATTTCCTTTACTGTCTCTTTAAATTTCATATTTCATTAAAAATATTTACTTCTGGTCATCCACAGATCAGGCATTTTGTTGTTATTTTCTGTAACCATAAAATGAGCCTTGACTTTATTGTCAAATTGCCATATTCTAAATTGGGTTCAAACCAGAACTTTGACTAGGCCATTCTATTACATGAATATGCTTTGATGTAAACTTGCAGCACTGGCTTTTGGGGTCACTGTCCTGCTGAAAGATGAATCATTGGCCCACTCTCAGCCTTTTACAACCTCTAACAGGTTTTCTTCCAGGACTCTTGTGTATTTTTGCTCCATTAATTTCCCCATCAGTTTGGACTAATCTCCAAAACAAAACCAAAAAAAACAAAAAACAAAAAAAAAAACAAGTGTCCTTTCACTTTCTTGGTTCTGACTTTTTTTTTTTGAAAACTTTCATCACTTTTTAGTTGAGGAATCTGCATGTTTGGACAATTACTCCTTACTCCTGGTTTTGGATGCTGCAAGGATTTTTGCTCTTACTTTCTCCTGCAACAAACCTTTTTTTTTTTTTAGATAGATTGCTGTTAGTATCTAATTAAAGTTTCATACAGAAACAGTGTCTTCAGTCAGAGGCTTCTTCAGATTTGTTGCAAGACTGACTGCTACCAAAGATCTGTCCACAGTATCAGAATCCACGACTGAAGATACTTGGATGCTGCGAGTTACAACTAAATTTGATTTCCCTTTGGGACAAAGTAGTTTTTGCTTATACCTGCATTCCTCGTTAAAAGAAATGTTTGTGGTGAAAAGTTATTTTTAATACTTTTTCCAGGCATAGCATAAGCATACTTATTCCACCCTAAAAGCTTGTTTTCTTAGAGAAAAAAAAAATAAAGTGGAAAGTTTAGCTTTTTTAAAGTTCTTTAATGGTTCAGTTGGATTTGGAAGCATTAGGGCAGTATGGTCAGCAGCCATACGAAACCAAAAAGAAACCAAGTAATTGATGTAGACTGGGAAGGAAAATAAAATACAAGGCAAAAAAATAAAAACAACAAAAAAATAGACAATTAAGCAACATCCGGTCACAGTAAGATACACAATCCTGCCCTCAACTTAACAGCATGCTGAAAATCAAAACGGGGAGATTTTAAGTTCAATGAGGATCTCTTTTTCTCTCTCTCTCACACACACACACACACACATTCACAACTTGATCCAAGGCTGCAGTTCAGCCCTGATGGGAACAATGTACAGTAAGACACCTTAGAAAAAAAAATGCATAGAGACAAATAAAGAATGTTTTATAATAAAGTAAACATAAAAATACAGACAGACCTGTTGGCCGTTTACATTGCGATGATTGTTGGAAACATTCAGTTTGAACTTACCGCCAACAACAACAACAACAAAAACATTTCTAAGAAGCTGATAGCTTCCACAAATACCAACAATGTACAAACAATGGTCATTGTGACAAGGCTGAATAAACATGAGAAACCACAAAGCAGACATGCTTGGCTTTAAAACATCTTAAAACAAAATTAAATAAATCAGCACGTTGTTAAGAAATATGCCTGTTGAGACACAAATCTTTTTTTTTCAAAGTCCAGCTGCATCAATTAAAGATTTAACTTGTTTTTTTTTTTTTGTAAATGACAAATAAAAACACATTTACAAACATTTTTCACCCCGCAGTAAATCAAACAAATAATCTTTGTCCTAGATATTAAAACGTTTTCTTATTTTCTATTTTTAAAAACAAATATCCCGCTGATAATAGTGCAACAGATACAGTACGGTTAAAAAAAACAAAACAAAACAGCACACAGTTGTAATGTTTGGCGTCATGGGTTTGATTACAGGTAGTTAAAGTTAGAGTTTGTGTGAATTTAGTGTAAAAAAGAGTCGCTGCTTGCTGGTTAAATTAATTCCTGATTTTGTGAAAACAATATTGTCAATTCAGGAAACAATAAATTACACCACCAGCTCGTTTTTTTTTTTGTTTAAATTGGCACATGGAATTCATTCTTCCTAGTTTCCAGCTAAACGTACAATTCAAAAAAAAAAAACTAAACTCGTCACAATGAGAGGAAAAAAGAAAAAAACAAGCAGAAAGGATGTTTACACCTGTGTTTCATGTTTGATTCGATAACGTCTGGTAGTGTCTGATTTCTGATCAATTGCTTATGATTAAAAATAAACACCGACAGGAATAAAGAAAGCAGCAGAAAGATGAATAATAAATTGGGCCTCATGCACATATCCAGATTTAAACAAAGACCTTCAGGCGTTTCTCCTTCATAAATAGCGTCGATTGATCCGGCACTTGTTACGCCGTGAACTAAACATGAACGATTGATACTCGCACTCTGATCAATCGGCCTGTCGATACCTCGTCAGAAATCCTACGGTTCATACCACGATTCAGTAAAGCGTCACTGTTTTTCTTCTTTGCGATTTCCAATTAGAAAACAAACGAGAACCAGCTGCGCCCGTCGCTGCAGAGCACGGCCAAAGCGGCAGACGAGGGGTCAGGGATCGATGCGTCGCTGAATGAGTTTATCTGGGTCCTGCAACTAAAATGTGAGCCTCGTAATCAGGCCACAGTCCGGAGTGGAGAGTTAATTAAATTTAAAACCATCCTAAAGGAAGCAGAAAATCTCTTCAAACACTGATGCGGTCATATGCAGCCGTTTTTTTTTTTGTTTGTTTGTTTTTTTAAAGTAGTTATTCCTTATTTAATGTTTTCACACCAGCTTCATCCTATAAATGACCGAATGAGATGAAGTGGTAAATACTAAAGCTGGACTCCACCGGGGAGACTTTCTACCGGATCCTGAGACGCGGTTGTAACTTTAAATCTGCTGAAAGTTTTTTTTTTCTTCTTCTTTTTTACAAAACGAGGCCCCTCGTTAACAAAACAACGGACAACAGCTAAAACCCGAAACTAACGGCAGGGCTTTTAAAAGCAGAAATACTTGTCAAATGTCTCCTCTAACACCATCAATTATCACTTCTCTTCGCCTTCGGGTCAGCTGTCGAGAAGGTCCGCCTCGGTGACCGCAGCAGACGTGACGCTGCCCAACACCTCGACGCGGACAGAACCGAACAAAAATCAACCCTCGATGCCGCCACAGAAAATAAAAAAGAAAACCGAAACCTACAATTACCCAATTTGCGAGTGTGTTCACAGATTGCCTTATTGCCAAGGCCGCGGCCCACAGTGACCCGCTCGAGTGCAACCCGGGTGCCGTCAGTAGGCGAGGAAGGGGCAGGATGTAGGAGGCGAACACCGCGTCTCCTCCTCCTCCTCTGCCTCCTGCAGGCGCCCCTCTTCTCCTGAGCTCATCGGTGTTGTGTGTGTTTGTGGAGTTGGATGTTGTGAATCATGCGCAGGGCGGGACAGCGGGTGGGTGTGTTCGGGAAGAGGTGGAGAGAGGCCTGGGTCACTGTCGTCGGTCTTCTGTCTCTGACCGTGAGAACGCCATCACCACGTCCTCTGCACCTGGGATACGAAAAGAAAAAAAAGAAAACATGTTCAGAGGAAATGAGGAAAGCATTTAAAGGAGGTTGGAGAGTTTCCTTTTGTAATAAAAGATAAATGAGTCAGAGAGGAAGTGATTCCATCTCATTTGCCAGTGTGTCAATCAGAGACTTTGACCTTCGAAGCCGAGTGCGAGACAAGTGAAATGCAACAGGCCTTCTGCTTTAAAACGGGCATCTGTAAAATGCAACGACTAGTGCAGTTTCATCATATATTCATGTTCTTCTTCTTCTTCTTCTTGCGTAAACTGCAGTATTTTAGATTTTATTTGGCTTAAAGCTGCAGTATGTAATGTTTCATTAAAAGAAAACAAAAGCTTTTTTTTTTTTAATTGGTTAAAAGTGTTGTGGCAGTATAGTCAGACATAATCTTTGAAAAGATCAATCTCCTACATTTTTGTCCTTGTCTTCTATTGCACAGCTCTCAGTCAAAAACCACCAATCAGAGTCAGGAGGAGAGTCTTAGCGCTGTCAATCACTCTCATGTACTCCTGGTGCTAATGGTGGAGAAACATACCGTTACAGGAAAACTGTTTATCTGCCGTCATCGGTGGCTATGCTAACTAGCCTGAGCATTCATGACATGCTGTTCTAGCTGCAGCAAAAATGAAAATATTCTCTCTAAATGATTCATATATGCATTTACTTTAGAAGCCTCTCTCAGGTACTCACTGAAAATCACTAATACTTGAGAGCTGATCTACAGTCCTTGCAACGGCCTGTTTTAGTAGTTCAAACACAGTTAGTACTAAAAATGGAAACAGTTTAATATCTAAGGTTGTGCTTATTTTTGCTCTTGAAGGTTGAGCCAATCAGTGTCAAGGAAAATGAGTGGTGCATCTGGATTGTGCTAAGTGTTAAGTAGCATTTCAGCTTCCAAAGCTGCATTTTCTTTTAAACATTTTAGATACGTTCTACAAAAACATCTATGAATAGGCACATTTTCCATGAATCATTTAAAGTTATGCTGCACAAAAACACTGTAGTCCTTCAAATATGGACATTGTGGGCCAAAAATATTTATTTAAATAAATATTTACAGCCCTACGAGTCTCAAAATACCATTGAAAACTAAAGCCCGTCTACTCTTTAGAAGGTGGGTGTCATTCCCAACAAAAATGGTATTTTTAAGGGTATAAGTCTTTTTTTATATATACATTTTAAACAATTTTGTTTCAAAGGGAGCCTTTCATATTGCTGATCAGAAATAAACTTAAAAGAACATTTTAAATCTAAATCTGCCAGACGTGTTTAACAACGTTCACTAAGAATCAATTCTCCTCATTCGGTTACAGGCTGGTTATCTTGTAAATTATACATTAAAGAAGAGAGCAGAGAAAAAGTGGGAGACAGGACACAGAGGGAACAGAGTGATTGTACAACATTTTGTAACATTATGTGAAGAAGCTCAAGCGTCTTTGTTTTCCATTCTGACACCCACGGCTCAAACACCAACTCCAGTTCGACACGTGAAACGTGGGTTCTTATAAATCCAGTCAGCTGTGAACGGCGAAGCTGAAGGAAACGTCCCACTGTGAACGTCGGCTCGGTGGACGCAGGTAAACTCTTCTCTTGCTGGATACACCTGCAACGTAAAGCCGCTCGGTCGTCTGACGCGGCCGTGGCGACGCTCTGAGTGGGCTGCTGACAGCAGTGTCCTGATAACACCCAGATCTGAAGCTTCGCTGCCATTCAATCTCCTCCACTGAGGCAGCCTGAGGCGTAAGGCTGCCTGGTACCAAAACCAGCCAACACTATCACCATTAAGCATCATTTAGAGTCGACTCGCAGGCGTGACATGCTAGTATTTCTTTCCTTTGTGCTAGGCTAGATTATAATTACAGCCTCCTTGGTGTTTATGTGACTTATGAGTTCTGTCAAATACACAATAAAACCCCGTCTGCTGGCTTTTATTTAGAAACAAGTGATTCATTAGTAGTTTGTCAACTAATTAAAATACTTATATGGAGTACAGCAGATCTGTTTGAGCAGCTTTCCTCTCCAGAAAGTGTTTAAATACCAGGACTTAACATTTACTGCCAATTTAAATGTGCAGCTGTTCCTTCATGTCACAATCAAATAATTGTCAATTTCAGCTCTTCTGTGTCTAGACCAGGGGTCTGCAACCTATGGCTCTGGGGCCACTAATGGCTCTTTTTTATACATTTACAACAAGGAGAGCTTTTATCACAATAACTGAATGACACAGTAATTTTTCCCCCTATATGTTTTCTTTAATTTACATGATTTTAATAAAGGAACATGCTATTGAAGAAAATATCTCAATCCACAATTTATAAAATTATTATCTTTCTTTATTTTGATAACATAAAACTAAAAGGGTGGTTTTTTTTAAAAAAAATGAAACATTTCCAGTAACATATTTATCAGAAATTATAAGTGACATTTTCAGAGCTGAACTAAGGGCAAAAATGGCTTTTTGGAGTGTAAAGGTTGCAGACGCTTGATCTAGACATCAACTTAGGAGAAATGAGTGGTTTAAAAATCCTTTGAAAAAAGAAAAGAAAACTGTTTTGATACTTTTTACGCACCTGGCTCAGTATCTGAAGAAAACGTACACAGATATCTTGTGGTTCTGGTCATTAAAAGGAATAAAATGAAGGAGAAATCATGCTTGAGTGCGATAGACTACTATCACCACCATCCTGTGCTGTAAAAACACACCTTACAGTCTCAAGCATGTTTAACACCAAGATCAACACCTTTTCAAAAGGCTAGGAAGCAGTTCTAACAGCAACCACTTTTTGCTAGCTTAAAAAAAGAAGAAAAAAAAAACTTTCACAGCAGCTTTGAGGAGTGCCTGTTAGGTTTAATCATTAGTGATTTGAAAGTAGGCCAAGAGACTGTGAGCCTTGATCATCTTCATTAGACATAACAGATCCTACAAGCAAGTTTGTGTTTCACTTGGATGTTGCTTTCAGAGAACATTTATCCTAGGATACATTCAGTACATTTTAGAACAACAGCAAGGTTAAATCTATAGGGGGAGGATGTCTTTTTCTCTTCTGAATGGGAACGATGCAGGTAAATAAAGGAGGAACAGACAGAATCTACAAGACTGGACTACTTTTGTGTGTTATTGTGCGTCAAATTGTTTTCTTTTGAAAGAATTTAATCTGGAACAATTCAAAATGGAGACAATTTTGCACCTGGACACATCCGTCACCTTCACTGCTGCACAACTAAAAACAGCTCCAACAAGGTCATGCTGCAGCACAGCAACCAATATTAGGCCAAGGAAGGAAGGAAGGAAGGACTGAAGGATGCAAGGACAAAAATGAAGGAAGGAATTGAGGTACGACACAAAGGAACAAGTTAGGATAACAAGTAGGAAGGACAGAAGAAGGGAAGGAAAAGGAACATTGTAAAGAAAGAAAAGAAAGGATAGAAGAAGAGGAAGGATGGACAAAAGGAAGGGCACAAAGCCTGGAAAACCAGAACTTTTCCTGATTCCTTATTTTCTTTTTTCCAACCTTATCCAGTCCTGAAAAATACAGAAACCAAGTTCCAGTTGCCGTAGGAATGCTGCAGATTGACGGACATAAACACCATCTGAACTGCACGGTGTTTGCGTGAAAGATTTCTCCTCCCCGTAACAGACGGTTCAGGCCAAGGGCTCAGAGCAACGCGAGCCAGAAACCAATAGATATTCTCTCAAAATACCCCCAGAGGCCGAGCTAAATCTGAACACAAGCGCCTGAGAGTCATGTTCGGACCTCGCCCTGATACCAACGCACGCTCTCGGAGAACGCACACAGCAACAAGCTCTAGCCACTGAGATGGAAACGTCAGGTCCCTCAACGCTGTTGCCTAGCAGCAGATAAGAATCGGGCTGCGCCGGGGCCGCTGCGCACGAGTGGGCGGCTCCGTTGTTGGTAAGCTTTGATGCAGCTCTGCTTCCAGCCGTTCTCTTGCCTTCCCATCTGCCTCAGGCTGAACCGCTCTTTACCTCCGCTTCCCAGACGGAGGTGAACACAAAGACCTGCGAGGGTCGATTTGCTCGAGAAAAAAAAAGAAAAGAAAAAAAAAAAGAAGAAGCAGCAGCAGTATGTCTTTAACTGATATGTTCTCTGCAAATCCCTCTGTAGAAGAAGAAAAAAAAAATGACCCAGAGTCATTACAGGAATCATTATTTCTATCAACATCTAGAGCTGAACAGTCTTGTTCACTGAACCAGATATTTAAAAAGAGATGCAGCTAAAGAGTTTAATTTCTTACATTTTCTATTAAGAAAAATTCTATACAAGATCAAAGAGTGGATCATTTTTACCGATATCCCCGTTTCAGGACAGCATCATCAGGAACAACCTGAACATGCAGGCCTCCTCTACACTTCTGAGGCAGCATAAATCAATATTTGGCTGGCTTGAAATTAAAAAAAAAAAAGCTACATGAAAGCTTCGGCGAAACCTCCGAGGAGAAGAAATCTTTTATTAAGCTCAAAGGGAGCCTGTTTGAAGTGAGAGGAATGAAGCGCTTTCTGCTCGTCTTTCTAGACGGGGGGGGGGAGCAGAGAAGCGTCTGGATTGATGGCTCTGGTGTTGCTGTGGTGCAGCACCAACAACATTTAAGGTCACGATCTGTGCAGGGTCGGCTGAGGGGACAAAGGCGCTGAGAACAGCGGCGTTAGAAAGGCTGTAGGGACGGGTTGTGTGAGGTTCAACACTCAGTATCCAAAGGTTTGGGCTGAAAACAGTTAATTGATTATTGAAAAAAAAAAAAAGAAAGAAAAAAAAACGTAAACAAATTTAGTTTAATTGTTAGCTGAAGCAATGAACTCAGAAAAAAAAGGTCATTTGCTGAAAGAACACAAAGCAGTAATTAAGCCAAAACTGTTAAATATATATGTATATTTTACATTTAAGATGAAAAACCTTCTTTGTCTTCAGGTTTAGCTTCATTTTTATTTAATTCACTCAATAATAAATATGAATAGTTCAT